ATCCAATGTAAGTCCTAATCTATTTTTCTTATATTCACTCCCTCTAGAAATGACAAAAGCTTTTATCTCTTGAATATATTTTTTAAGCTGAAGTCAAAAATGTCAATTTTTATGCATTATCCCCACCCTCAAGCTCTATATTTTCTTTTTGATTGCATTACTTCTCAACATGTTCCCAAGAATCAAATTTTGAATACCAGGTTCAATCTAATGTGATGCTGGGAATTTCAAAGCATGAAGAAGCACCATCAACTCCACAACACCCTCTCTCTCCCATGGGCGATGCTTGTTCACGCATGGATCTCACTGCCATCCATCAATACTTGGTGATGCAACATTATAAAGATGACGAAGGATCCAATGAGGTAATTTATTATAGATAGTGGAAATATGGTAACTTTTCGTTGGCATATTTAATTATTTCTGATGTATGGATGTGGATGCTGACCGTACAGTTATCTTTCCAAGAGTGGACCCAACAAATGAGAGATATGTTAGATGCAAGGAAACGTGGTGACTTGGCATTCCGCGACAAAGATTTCAAAACTGCTATAGATTGTTATTCTCAGGTATTTTCAATTTAATCTGTACGGAGTATTAAGTTCCTGGGATCTTTTTTTGTCTCTTCTCTGAATCCTTTGAGCCCGTAGGGTTTCTCAGGACATCTTATTCATTTGCAAGTTTCCATATATCCAACTCTCCATGCATGCACTTCTTTGCCTTATCATAAGAAAGAATTTCTTATTAATTATAATTCTAAACATGATGGAATTTGACTTCTCTCGTTCACTTGGAAAAATGATTTATACTCATGGTCGAAGAAATGAAAAATATCCCCATATCTTCTACTTAGGCTTGATAGTCATTAGCCTTCTACATTTAATGAGCATAGAGAGAGTGCCTGCTAGAGATTCACTATATGTGCTTCTCTAACCAGAGAATTTATGTGGATCAAAAGACCGCTAACCACAACCAGTACTTTCTGGTGTCTTGATAATTAATTAGCTATATGGAATTGTGATTCTAATAGCATGTGCAGTTCGTAGATGTGGGTGCCATGATTTCACCAACTGTTCATGCACGGCGAAGCCTTTGTTATCTTATGTGCGATCAGGCAGATGCAGCTCTCCGAGATGCAATGCAAGCACAATGTATATACCCAGATTGGTCGACAGCATTCTACATGCAGGCAGTAGCCCTTGCAAAGCTCGACATGCACAAGGACGCTGCTGATATGTTGAGTGAGGCAGTCACGCTAGAAGAAAAGAAGCAAAAAGTTGTTAAAGTATCATGAGTCTCCCTCCCATCAATTGTGTTAAATTCTTTTGTAACTGGAAAATGCTGCATCTATATTGTTTGCTTTGTGAATTATGATGGTTATTTACAGATGTACAATGAACATTGTAATTTTTGCACACAAATTTGTTGAATAATCAATAACTTTTATGTTTGGCTCATCTTCAATGTTTATACAAGTCAAGTTACTTTTTATATGCACACTTTAAAGGACTTACGAGTACTACTCATTTATCATTCAATTCAATCTATTTATCGTTTAAAGCGTTTATAAACACTTTCTAGATATTTTGTATCACCTAATAAAAACTAAAAGGCAAATTAGGGGTTGAGTTTCCCAGTCTTTCTTATGTTGTGGTTATGGGATTTCAATATTCAAAAATGGAGTATTAGGTTCTTAAAATATTTAAATATCTGAACTTGGGTCTTCATGCGATTGAGACCATCAACGTGGATGTTGAAATTTCGCGCTATTTTAACTCCTTGTTTGGTTCTCATTTTTCAAACTTATTTTTAATCATATATTTTCATGGGATCTATATATTTTTTTATCAACTTTTCGATCATACGTTTATCAATTTTTATCAAACAATACAAATAAATCTGTTTTTTTTTTAACGATATAAAACTGATTTAGCTCTGATTTCAAGTCGTGTGACCGTTGTGTGTAATTTTTATGTGACCATTGACAATTCAATCACATGGAAGGCTATACGCCAAGATTTTCGTAGTTATAATGTAAACTATTCCCAGATTTGATGCACATGAATAAACAAATTTGGTTGTAATGACTATCTGCTAAAAAAAATTGTTGTAAATTCTCAAAACTGCAAGATTCTTGTCAGCATGTGGGCTTTGATTCGAAACACCTAGACATAGTTTATCAATAAGGAGTTATGCTACAAGTACAGAAAATATTTGACAGAATTTTTAAAGAACAATACTCGATAAAAATTCATTGGTTTTTGGACTGAAAAATGGCAGAAATTGCACCATTATGTGAATAATTCCCTGTACGTGGGGAATCATTCATTAAGAGATTTTAACAGGCCATTTTTTACTCCGTTTGGGTGTCATTTTATAAAAATTCATTTTTTGTAAAGCTCATTCTCAATTACCCATCCTCCCAATAAAATAATTTTTATGTATAAATCATTTTTTTCCCCCATAAAATGGATTTAATCAAACCCCTTGGATCTATTATATATTTTGTATAAAATTTTAATATTATATGAAATGAGATGGGATCTTCTCCTGCAAAGAAATAATAAATTTAATATCTTCACAACTTTTGTATTGACTCGTAAATTTCTCCCCAAGTCTTCCATTTTGGGAGGGCGAAAAAAACAAAAAGTTGGCCGACCATCTCGTCAAGCTTTGAATAGCCATCTTTATTTGTTGATATTTTTCTATATCTGTTATACATATAAATCATTCTATATTGGGCCTTTCTTTTGAACTTGGCTTGGACTCAGCCCATAACTCGCTTGGCCAATTTCATTTCATTTCTCTAAATATATGAGCTAATTCACACAATCTAAAAAATGGTTTCTAATCAAATCCTCTCTCCCGATTCCCACACTTTTTATTTTTTTTTCGTCCGACTGTTAACTTGACCGTCGGAGTACAAATGATCGTCGGACCTTTTTCTCGACCAACGGCTTTTACCTTTAACCGGGTGTTCCGTGTTTAGGTAACGTCCACGTGGAGAGGACGTGGCGGGAATTCAGTTGGCAACATTTATTGGGGTCAACAATATCTATAAATTGTGCAAGATATATATATATATATATATATATATATATATGATAGTTGATAGTCAAGATGAGACTTCGTAATTCTGATGGTAGTCATATAGTGCAAAGTCTCAATTTATGATATTCCGAAAGTAATGACGAAGAAAAAACTAGGAAATATAAATAATGTCCAACTTCGTGTGTCACACGATATTTTCCCTTTATCATCTTTTTTATGTAGAGGAATAGAAAAGTAGTTAAAGAATATCCTTTAGCACAATTGGCAACAATTTCGTTTTAGCTTTTTGAACAAGTGAATGAATGAATTGACTTTTGATGTTCATACTTGGTTTTTCCATTCATGTCTAATCTCAATCTAATATTTAATTTTTTTTTACCTAATACATAAAAAGCTAAATAAATTCTTATTTGAGGATTGTCGTTCACTCGTTCTCATAAAATGCTATAAAAATTGACAAGATAGCCCGCCAACCATTTCCTTCTCTTATTATGTGCATGATATGCAACGATTCTCTAAGGCAAAAAACGACAATCCTCAAATAAGAATTTATTTAGATTTTCAATTATGTTCGACTTAACTGAACAGTATAATAGACAAAATGGATAGTTGGATATACATTGGTGAGAGTAATTGTGCATGGTTTATTGGGGTTGGTAAAAGGAAAGTTGGTATGATCAAAGACATATTTGACTAAGCCATCAAATGAATGTCTCAAATTACTATAATACCCCTCAACTACCTACTCCGTCTCCACCAACACCGCAACAGTGATATTAGCACCCACCACCCCATCTCCACCCACCCTCAAAAGTGGGTCCCATGATAACTCACCCTTCTCACCAAACACAAAAATTTCATAATATAAAGCCTCCTCCATGTTCTCTCTCCATTTCCTCAGGTACAACCCCTTCAAAGCACAAAGGTACAACTCTCTTTCACACAAGCTCCCCAATGGCGCTAGCTGCACATAACTCTCTTCTTCCCAACAAATCTTCTCTCATTCCTCAAACCCAAAATCCTCTTTACACCAGTTCTTCCTCTCTTGCCGTCAGATCTACAGTTAAACGCGTCTCAGCCGTCCATGCTGCTGACTCTTCAAGTTCCAAAAACCCCATTGTCTCAGAATCCAAGTCTGTCAAGCCAACGCCGTCGGTTGCAGCCGCTGCAGCAACAGCCACCGTGGATACCAAGGCTCCTTCCAAGAAATGGGCGTTGGAAAGCTGGAAATCGAAGAAAGCGTTGCAGCTGCCGGAATACCCGAACGCTGAGGAGCTTGAGTCGGTTCTCAAGACCCTTGATGACTTCCCTCCTATTGTGTTCGCCGGAGAGGCCCGGAGCCTCGAGGAGCGGCTAGGTGAAGCTGCCCTTGGTAAAGCATTCCTTCTGCAAGGTGGGGATTGCGCTGAGAGCTTTAAGGAGTTCAATGCTAATAATATTAGGGATACATTCAGGATCCTTCTCCAAATGGGCGCCGTTCTGATGTTTGGCGGCCAAATGCCTGTCATCAAGGTGATTTTTTATGCACTCCTCTTTCCTTTTTGTTGGGTATTCATGTACTCTTGAAAATGTATAATATTTGTAGAATTGGATGATATGAATTTGGATGTGGTTATACCATCTCATCTAAAAGGTTAAGCTGGTATCTAGATCTTGTCTTTAACATGTGCCCTTACGTGAGATCGGATTTATTTGATCAAATGTTTGGCATAGGAGTGGCTACATGACTTGAATTCATATCTTTTCCCTAATTTGAGGGCCACGTGTATTCGGTAATTTAGATCTCGTCTTTGACATGCCTCTTTATATGTAGAAGATCGAATTTATTTGATCAAACGTTTGGCATAGAAATGGCTAAAAGACTTGAATTCATATTTTTTCCCCAACTTGAGGGCCACGTGTATTCATTTAAATCTTGTCGTCAATGCGCATAATTGAAATTACCTTTTTAGTGTTGTAGATTAGTAATTAGTAGATTGTTATTTCTTCAGTAATTTTAGCTTGGCATTGGATGTACTTTAAGAACTCCCAAATTGGATTTTGAGTGTTGTTTTCATTCTTATGATGTGGAGAGCTAAGGTTGAGTCAATTATTTTTATTTTATTGGTTTTTTCTTTGTGATTCTAGATGAATTTTAGGTTTTGATTGAATCAATTAATCTTAGTGGTTGTTGCTGATAAATAGGTGGGAAGAATGGCCGGTCAGTTTGCTAAACCAAGGTCGGATGGATTTGAGGAGAAAAATGGTGTGAAGTTGCCGAGTTACAGGGGAGACAACATAAATGGTGATACATTTGATGAAAAGTCGAGGGTTCCAGATCCTGAGAGGATGATCAGAGCGTACTGCCAATCTGCTGCCACTCTGAATCTTTTGAGGGCTTTCGCCACAGGAGGATATGCCGCGATGCAGAGGGTTACTCAATGGAACCTGGATTTCACCGAGTCCAGCGAGCAGGGTGATAGGTTTGTTCAACACTGTCTTTTAGTGACTACAATTTTAAATTTAACTGTGAACTTATTATTTTTTTTTTTTTCGGAGACAAACTGATTTTAAAGTTACTTTCTTGAACTTATTGACATATTTGTCCTTTACAAATGGATGGTTTATATTTAGCTATCATGAAACCCGTGGGAATCAGTTGGCTAGCATTTTTTCCCTAATTTTTGCTGACATATATTCCTTCGTTGGGAAATACGCATTATTTGATATTTAGATTTATATGAAATACTTCATAATTTAACTTGGATAAATTTGTTGATGTCTTTCATATGCTAGCTGGTTTAAATACATATTTCTTGTTAGATGGTTATGGAATTTTGTTGGTTGTTGAATGGCAGGTACCGTGAACTAGGACACCGAGTTGATGAGGCCCTGGGATTTATGCAAGCTGCTGGACTTACAATGGACCATCCTGTCATGAAGACCACTGAGTTTTGGACATCACATGAGTGCTTGCTCTTACCTTACGAGCAATCACTTACTAGGCTTGATTCTACATCTGGCCGTTACTATGACTGTTCTGCCCATTTCCTTTGGGTAGGGGAAAGAACGAGGCAATTGGATGGAGCCCATGTTGAGTTCCTGAGAGGAATTGCAAACCCCCTTGGTATTAAGGTGATGATGCCAAGACAATTTCGATCAATAGATGTCTGAAGCTGTTGTGGTTTTTATGTGTTACAATGGGAGTTGCTCATATGGAATCTTTGTTTTTGCAGGTGAGTGATAAAATGGATCCAAATGAACTTGTCAGACTCGTTGAGATTTTCAATCCTGAAAACAAACCAGGAAGGATTACGATCATCACAAGGATGGGAGCAGAGAATATGCGGGTGAAACTTCCTCATTTAATTAGGGCAGTCCGAAGGGCGGGGCAAATAGTTACCTGGGTCTCTGATCCTATGCATGGAAACACTATCAAAGCCCCTTGTGGTTTAAAAACACGCCCATTTGATGCAATCAGGGTAACTTCCTCGATCATACTTCATGACCACATAGCATCGTTCATTATATTCTTTTTTGTGGTACTTGAAAGGAGAACTGGACATCCAAAAAGACAAAATACTTGCACATTTAAAAAACAATTCAATAGCTATAATATTTCACTGACTTAAATTTATGCATAAGATGTAAAAGACAACATCTTTTGAAGTTGATTCCGAATGTCTATCGATTTTACATTAATAGCAGCCTTTTCCGGTGGGATTTGACCTTTACTAAATTTTGCTGCACTTTTTGATGCAGCTGGTGACGCTATTTAAAATTATTTTGCCTAGCAAGACATAATATGAAATAACATCGCTGATTGATCTTGGCTTATTTGAGCAGCTAGATTTCTAATTTTACAGTGATAAGAGAAAAGGGTGTGTTGTAAATTAGCGGAATAATTAACAGTAACTTAAAGATGCTTTGGGTAGCTAAACAACTTTGAATTATGCAACATTTGTAATTTACGTATGAATTAAGTAAGGTCTAGTATCAAGCACACGAAACAGATATGGTAGGTAGGAGAAAAAGAAGCAACCTTGTAATTATGTCCATGTGAAAATGCATTTCTTATTTGGAAATTCATTTATTCAACTATGAAACTCTAGTAGTTAATAGGTGGTTGTGTGTCTTTATCTATGAGTTGGAAATATCTATTGTAGGTAGGACTTTATTTATTTATTTATTTTAACTTTTATCTATGAGAATTGTTTTACAGTTCTCGTCATGCTATTAAGGCATATCTCATGTGATGTTCTTGATATTAATCTTTTGGCATCAGGCGGAAGTGAGAGCCTTCTTTGATGTACATGAGCAAGAGGGTAGCCACCCTGGTGGAGTTCATTTGGAGATGACAGGCCAAAACGTTACAGAATGCATTGGAGGATCACAAACTGTTACATTTGATGACCTGAGCTCACGCTACCACACCCACTGCGACCCTAGGCTAAACGCGTCTCAATCTTTGGAGCTTGCTTTTATCATTGCCGAGCGCCTGAGAAAGAGGAGGCTTGCTTCCGGTTTTAGGCTGTAGATTGGCTGAAAGATCCATCAATATATGACATCTGAACTCAAATTACTCTAGAAATATTAAGCTTTAAAATTTAAGTTGAAAAAGAATGTTATGTACTTTATGTGTATTCCTGGGAGAGTGAATTTTTATGATTTGATGAGACAGGCAATAAACGTATTTATTTCTTTGTATCATGGTTGGTATGTATACTATTTATTTGAATTATGAAAACCCTGTTTGGCCAGGCTCAAGGCCAGGCCAAGAAACAGGGGGCCAACGTCGACAGGCACCCTGCCAACAGGGGGCCGACCTGTTTTCTGGCCTGGATTTGGCTCAAAGCAGGGCTCGTCCTCAGCCTAATATTGCTAGGCAGGCTGGCATGTGGTGGGAAATACCAACTACTACGTTGCAGAAGTTCCACATGGTTGATTTTGATCTTGTAAAAGTGGTTATCTTGGGGAAAGATGACCTCTTGAGGGGCTCACCATTCTAAGCATGTAAGATGTATATCATCCGGGTCTGGCCCACAGCTCGGGATGTCGTGGCCCACCTTTTTGGCGAGCAACGAGAGGGTTGACATGCCAAAAATGTGAGCTGGATATATTGGGGGTGCTCCGGGCCTAGCATTGCATCGAAACCGATAATTAATCAAGAATAATGTAAAGGATGGAGTCTAATAATGGTTTATATATAGATGAAGTGTCAAAAAAAGATTGAGAATGATTTTTTTTTTTAATTATTATTTGGTTGAAGAATTTCTTGGAGTGGGCACGGTGCGATTTGGTCCGATTTCAAAGGAAACCGAACCGAATATCAATGAGAATTTTAGAAATGGAACCATCGGTTCCATAGCTAACTATGGAACCAAACCAATCGGTTTCGATCCGGTTCTTTATATTGAAAATGTCAAAATAAAATGTTCACTAATAAAAACTTTTAGCATGTTACCAACGTTATACTTTTAACAAAATATAGAAGAATCTAACATACTATTCAAAGATTTATTTAGGTATAGATTTATGAAGTGAAAACAAGATAAAAATCATGTAATCAAAGTGAAAACAAAAAAATAAAATAAAATAAAAATAAAAATTCGCCTCTTATAAATGAAATTATATATAGTAAATAAATTTATTTAAGTATAGATTTACCCAATATTATAATTTGGTTTGAGAATCAATTAATCAAAGAATTATAAGAAGAGACAAGGAAAGAATCAAAGAGAAGAAGGAAGGTGTTGGAGTCTAAAATTAAGAAGGAACTCGATTATTTTTGATAAAAGTGTTGGAGATTGAGTCATATATTTTATCAAAAAAAAAAATCCAATGGAACCATCTAGTTCCTGCAGTTCTCATACTAGAACCGGGAACCAATCGGTTCTTAAAAATTTGTCCCGAAATCAAATTATTTTTTAGAAGATCCGGAATCCAACCATCCGATTCTAAACGGTTCCGGTCCAGTTCCACTAATTCTGAGAAAAAGTGGTTACTCCTAAGAATTTCTAACTCAATCATATTTCATCACATCATTTGTGTATAAACCATTATGTATATATAACATAATTGATTAATCAAACGTGGGAAAGAACTATGCCTAGCTCAAGATATCTTCGCCTTTCGTGAGCAGATGAATGAGAGGCCAGAGAAAAGCAGTAGAATGCAGTTCAGGTTTTCATCATCTTCCTAGAGCTGTTGTTATATTTGATAGATATGGTGCTGGATTTTGTAGGTCCAGACAGATTATGGTGGAAATCTTGAATTGAGATCCATGGCTGAGTTTGGATTGGGTCCTATTTGTTGGCAATCAATTTCTCTATTGGAACTGCACAATCTATCATGCGTCTCAATCTCATCTTAGACCTCAAACTCTACTGAAGACCACATTAAATTTTACTTGGATGGATGGGCCAATATTAACATATTAAAATGTAGAACTTAAACAACTTGAGCATGAAATGATCTTACCTAATGAATGACATGGCTTAAACAAAACTTTGGGAAAATAATTTTTGAATTTTAGCAAAGTTGTGATCCAACTTGACAATTTCTACTTGTAGTCATTTAACTTTCCAAAAAATCAACTTTTCCTTACTAAGGTATAGAATCTTCGTAATGAGTTGGTAGTTTTTATATATAGCCGTCGGATCATATGAAAGATGGTAAGCAAGTAAACAACGAACAAACTTGAAAGATAAATCCACCCCTAACACAGAAGTTCTTTTGTGCGTCTATATGCATTACATTGTTTCATTTTGTAAGTTATATTTAAAATTTTGAATAATTTTTAAAATTTTGTTGGAACTGTATCTCAACAATGCAATCTTCTATCTCAAAACATTTTTCGTGCAATTTATTTAACCAACCAAATATATATATGGGTATCGAGATACTTATTTTGAAATTTAGAATTATTTATTTATTTATATTTTTGATATTATAAATTTCTAGTTTAGAAACTTGTTCTTTAGATAGAACAAAGAAGCTAGAATTTTTAGAGATAGTCTCATCTTTACACACACGCGCACACACACACACACACTGATGACATGAAATACTAATTATCAACAGATCTGATCATTTTGTGGGATCCCCCGTTATTTTCGAGCACATTAATTCGCACACTTGAAATTATTTGTTTTATTTATTAATTTTGAGCTACCCACTACTATGGGCATTATCTCACATATATGTATTATTGTTGTCATAAATATGTAATTAAAACAAGAAAATAATCTATGTGCGTTTGTGTTGAAAGAATGGTACGTATAAATATTGGGTCAAGTCTTGTTAATGGACATTTTGAATAATTTAGTGTTTCATTAATGTGCACTCTTAAATTATTTAACTTTCTTGTAATATTAAATCACAGTTTCCTTCATTAAATATGTAATTAATCAAGATTTAAGTTCATGTAGGTATTATTAGTGTTTGAATAGCTTAATATTTATTGAACGATTTTTCATGTAGTATTTAAAAGGAGATTTTACTTGAAATAAATTAATTAGGATTTACATAAAATATTTACAAGCGAAGATAGTGCTTGAAACAGATATTGCAATGCGGATGTAAATACACCATCCACTCTGGAAATCGACTATGTTCTCCCAACTTGCTGTTATTGTAATCACTAATAAAATCTGCATTTATTTTTCGAATTCAACAATGAAATAATCTACATGGAGTATCTATATGAGAGTTGTTCGTGTTGGAATTTTGTATAAAAGATTGATTTTGACCAATTTTTAAATGATTATTTAAGTGAAAATCATTATTTGGTTAATGAGAAATTAAGCCAAATTCAAGTCACTTAAATGCGTGAAATTATTGGAAATTATATAAAATATAAAGAAATATTCTAAAATTATTTGGATGAAAAGTCCCCCCCCTATTTTTTTTGAATGATAACTTCCAAAAGTCTTAATCTTTTGTTGTAAAGATGTAACAACCCAAATTTTATAACTTAAATCGTTATTCGGAATTTTTTTAAGAATTTAACGTGACAAATAACTACTTATAAGTTTATGTAAAGATGGTTTACTCAAGGTAAATTTTTAATATTTATTATTAAATCAAGAAAAGATAAAAAAATTTTTTATCGACATCATATCTTATTCCTATACATTTAGAAGGATCAAACAAAATTTTAGCCAACCATTTAAAGATTTAGTGACCTAATTCCAATATACATAATAATTATTCTCTCAATTCATTTAATATAGCCATATACTCCACTAGAAAAATTGGATTTATAGCAATGTTATCTCTTGATTAAAGTATAATTAACGTATAATATCTAATTTGTATATAATTCTACTTTAGTGCTAAATTAATACTCCATAATACAATGTAAGTAAGAATTTTAAATTATTTTGCTTTAATCGTTCAATTTTTAAAAATATAAAATATAACATTTAGGACAATTAATTCTATTCTATAAATATATATATATATTTTTCTTTTTAGAACTTTACAAAAGATGTCTATTTAGATATGTATTTTTCAACAAGACGTGTCATTTTAGATTTACCTTTTCATTAAGTCATGTCTTTTGATTCATGGTTTTTGGACCACATTGATTACAATTAGAATTATTAATTTAATTCATAAATTGCATTCATGTTGATGTATATTCATTTGTTCGTTTACATTGAATATAATTTCATAAAAGAGAGTTTAAAATATTAGTAAGGTTTGTTGGTCAACATAATTTGGAGTGCTCCTATTGTGGAATATGATTGTTGTATTTTAGAAGATGAATGTCGAAATATCGTTAGCAACACCGCGGGACATTATCATTTCAAAAAGAAAGAGTTCAAATATTGTTTCGATCAAATTCATATTCATGCATTGCTCTTTTTGACTTATCGTATTTGGTTTCGATAAGTCAAAATTTTTTTCGATTCCATGCACGTAAAATGTATGTTGTTAGAATATAATTTATGCATGTTTGTATTTTTCTAACAATTTTAAGACGATAATATATGTGTATAATATATTCTATCATAATAAAGAATTTATCGACTGAAATTTTGTGAATTTTGTTATTGAAATACAGATGTTTAATGCATGTGGTCTCATGATATAATTAAGTTCTTATTATAATTAAGGCGTGACCCAAATTCTACTTGGAAGACTAAAGAATTTTATTTGAAGTCTAGTTGGGAAGTTTAGTGAAATTTATTTGGGAATTGAAGTTGGAATTAAATTTGGGAGTTGGCAGTAGACTTAAAGAGGTCTTGAAGGAATCCAAGTTGCAATTGAGAAAGAAATGTTGATCTGGCACTCACTTGGCTTATTGATCTCGCTCAAACACTCAAAACAGGAGCTCCAGCACCTGCTTACCGCCAAGTGGCCACCCGAGTGACGTCTTATCTAGACAAGGTTTTAATTTTATATTTTGGCAGCTTATGACTTCTATTTCATCCCAACTCCATACTAATTTTACTCATTGAATTGAGACTTTACCTTATACTGAACTCTTCATTGTATATATTCCTAGTATATTAGGTACTTTAATATTATATATATGTTGTGTATGAAACATATTGAGTCAATACAAACATTCAACACAATAATTTGTAATCCTCTATTATTGAAATTAATAAATTCCCTTATTCTGCCCATGGAATAATTTTACCACTTATATTTTGTGTTCTTATGTTTGTTATTTTCCATATTACCATATTATTCTT